TTGAAGCTCTAATTAATGTCACTCAATTTATGAGGTATCTCCTCATACCTCAATTTATAAAGTAATAAGTTTTATTGGATAATATATAGTAGTTATATCAGCCTAAGATGAAAATTTTCTACTATTAGTACACGTAAAGATTAAGATTTAATAAAGGTTATCCAATATTCTCATAAAAAGTCTTGCTCTCTGTTAATTCTCAATATTTGCTGCAATTATATTTTTTCAAACTTTAGTATTTGTTACCAAAATAAAAATATTGAAATATTAAAAGAATCAAACAAGAACTTCAGAGACCCTAAAATTACTAAATTAACCAAAAACAAGAAAAGTTATAAGAAATGTATTTTATACAAATTCATATGAATGATGATGACATATGACATTACTTAAATTTAACTTATTTTTAGGGATCGCTCACGTGAACGACATCGTGAAAGCAAAGAGCGTGATGTTGGGTAAGTTGGGTGTTAGATATACAACCATTTTGTTTGATTTTGAACATTTTAATTTTATAATAAACAATTTATATAAACATCTAAACTTTAGTTACCGTGAACGCTCTAGAAGTCGCGAACGTGAACGTCAAGTTCCTGACCATTACAGAGATGATAGGTAACTATTTCGTTTATTTCTTTTTTATATATTTATTTAATAAAGTTATATTTATGTACCTAAATTTATTAAGCTCAAGCCGTTCAGCACGTCCACGTAAGTCTCCAGAACAAGTCGTAGAAGCATCCGGCGAAGCACCAACAAAACGAGGTTACTACGAGGAACGTTACCGTTCATCTGATCGAGATCGTGATCGTGACCGCGAAAGAGAACGTGATCGTAGAGAAGAGCATCGTTCACGACATTAATTAGAATATGACCGTACATTACATAAAAAGAAATAATCATTAAAATAAATCAACATAATATTTAAATATATGCAATTATAAAAATTTACATATTAATATTCCTTATTAGCTTATTAAAAGCACAAGGAATAAGAATTAATAATTCAATTAATAACACTAGAGCCTAACAAAAGTTTTCATAATACGATTAGATGAATAAAATTATTTATGGACGTCTATAGAAAACATTTAAGGAAATGTATATACATACTTCAAGCTTTCAAATCAATTATGAAACTAATTAAATCGCAAATATACGTATTTATTTCATAACCAGTGTTGAAGGAGACAGCCGAAACTGCTTACGGATCCAGCAATAATATACACAACTATATATATTCATCGCAAATGCTAAACATAGCAACAAGCAATATACAGCGCGTGCGCTTAACCAACACATGAAGATTGTATATTACATTTCGGTTTATTTAATAAAAATATAATTAAAAGAATGTTAAAAAACTAAATGTATTGTCTTTTTTGTATAAATTGACTATATTATTGATTTTTATTCAACACTTGTTTACTTTAACGACGGTAACACAAAGTTTTGATAACTGTAGTTTGTACATATTTTTAATAGCACTTAAAACTAATTTTTCTTTTTTAATGATATATTTCCCTTTTTTGTATGTATAACTTTTAATTTTGTATCTTAAAATATTTTTTTTATAATATCTATTAGGTAGTAATTTATATACTAACAACTATTTTATTTTAATTAAATTATATTATCAGCATTTGTCAATTTAATTTATTTCATGATTTGTGATTTAATTTAAGCCAACTCATTATTATATTAATAATGTATGAGATTCTTAAAAGCACATTTAAAAAATACTGTAAACATATGTAAGCATAACGAGCATATTAATAATTTATATTATTGATTTATTAATTAAAATTATATATTGCATTTTTAGAAAATTCTTACAAAAAGTAATTTTTCTTATATTGCATATTTTTTGTGTGCTATGCATACGCTACGTTCAAGGAAATGTTTGTAAATTATTAGAATATTTGCAGAAATTTAAATATTTTAGATCTAGAATTTTGATATATAAAACATATTTGGTACATATCTATAACAATTAAAACAATAGACAACAAATAACTAATTATAACTAATTTATTATATTTAAATGCAAAAATATAGAAAGGGATTAATAGTAGTTAAATATATTAGGCTTGTACGAGCAATGTTTCAAATGTGGCAGGTGTTAAGTTCTAAACCTGACAATTGCAACCCAAATATTATATAATATATGGGCCCATATTATATATATAAGTCCTATTATTTTAAAAGATAACGAATATTTTTTGATATTTGAAACAGCTGCTTGGTCAGCCAAAAAGTAAATTAAAATAAAATTTTTGTTTGTATTTATTTTACCACTATTTGTATTTCACTTTCTATTAAAACATGGTTTCTTTGTCATATTTGATTTTAAATTAATTAAATTAAATATGTTATTTTGTTTTAGAGTATAAGTTTATAATTCATATTTTTTAAACTTTTAAAATATATTATTAACCACACTGGTAGAGGTATATTACTTTCGGATGCTTCTGAATTGCAACAAAAGCACAGTTCTCGAACATTTATCCGATCGTACTTATAACTACAAAGCCAGCGGTGTTTTATTTATGCATTTCAGAAATTACATTGTATTTTTTATGTTTTTTAGAATTTATTATGTTATTGTTCATAATTTATTAATTAAAGGAGATATAGTAAATACAATTTCAATAAAAAATATGTTTATTTTTAGGAATAAAAATTTATAATTGGGCTAATTGAAAATTGAAAAACAAATTAAGTATATTTAAATAAAATTAATTTACTTCAACTATCTTAGATAGAAATCTTCGTGGATTTGGCAAAATATAACAAAATATTTTGTTTCACTAAAAAAAACACTATTTGATGAAAATAATAATTTCATGTTAACTTGACAATTAGACTATTTAATAATTAATATATATATATGTATATATAAACATAATAATTATAGATACGCTATATTTTTAAGATGATTAGTATGAGTCTTTATATATTTATTTTGTTTTTATTTTTGGTGTTAAATAAAAAAAGCGATGTACACAGTTTTGATTCAGTTATATATGAAATATTATTTCGATGATATTATAAGGGAAGCAAATGATGCTGTTTAAAAAATTTATATTAGATAATCTTCAAAGTTATAATATATTTTTTAATATTTCATAGATTATATATATATGAAATATATTATATATAATTTTAACATTTTTTTTAATGAAAACTAAATTTATCTTATACGAGTCCCATGTATTATACTCATGTAAGTTTTATATTAAATACAGATGTACTAGACTTACTATTTATAAAACTGCTTTATTAAATATATTTGTTATATTATATTTTACGTGCTTTATGAAATTGTTTCTATGAAACATTTATATTATGCATTATATGCATTAAAATATATATTTTATAAATTTTATTTTAATTCTATTAAACAACAATTGTAAATTATTAGTGTAACAAAAATTGTTTAGTAAGGTGTAAGGTATACATACATATATGTTCTATATATATGTATAATATATAATGCAGTTTTTAAATATTTTATACAAATTGTTTAAATCAATTTTTGAAAAACTATATTTGTATTTTAGAAAATAACCATTACTAATTCACCTATGCCTCAGTGTTAATTGTGATTCTCATTAGCATTACATACTTAATTATATAGGCAATAGTTGTGTATAGCTAACTAGGTTCTTTTTGTTACATAAATTTAATCAAACTTGGTGTAAAAATCAATAGATAAACCCTTTTATGAAATATGCAGATTTAAGAATTTATTATAGAAATTTATTTATTTTGTGAAATTTTAATCAGTATTAAATTTTTAAAAATTTTAATTTGAAAATTAAGAATGTTTTCTTTCCTAATTTATAAACTTTAACATAGTTTATACGATGCGTGGTTTCTATTAGATAACGAAAGATATGAAATGTATAAATGAATGTGGTTATTTTCGCTAAAAAATTTATAAGATAAATCTATAGTGAAATTTTATTATTATTTGGTGTATTGTGTGTTAAAATTTAAGTAAGAAGTAATTATATATATTTCTACAATATATGTATATATTTTAAATTTTACTTTTTTGTGTATATATATATTTATTTGTTCATATATATATTTATATATATACATATATATTTAATCTGTACTCAATTTACATATATTTGTTTAAATGCTTTAAGTATTACAAAACTGATCTAGTATTTATTTCTTCAATATATATTTCAACTGTGATTAATTACTGTGATAATATGTTAACATAATTGATTATTAATCATGTTCAAAAATCTTAATGTTTTTATTACCTAAGCTATATTACAACCAAAGCCACAAAACACATTTTTTAAAGTGTACAAAATAGTATATTCAATTTTCTAACTCAATTTTATTTTTATTTTAGAATAATAATAATTTTGTATTTATCACAAAAATATGTTTTTTTCTGCAATGAAATAAAAAATTGAATGCAACTAAAATTTTGCCATGAGATTTTTAGAAATTATGTTTACATATACCAACACATGCTCCACTTCACTCGCTTAGTTTAATGGATTTTGAATATATAATACTTTTGAATATGGTAATAATATTTGAGTTATATATGGAAAATACCTCAGCATTATGGTTCTTTGTTCATTATTATAAAGAAAAATTTAAAAAAAGAAAACCTGCGAATTCATAAAAATATTAGATTTACTATGATGTTACAGCGTCAATTTCAGAGAAACAAATATAGTGTGTGTTCTATATATTCTATATAATATAATATAGTACTAGGATTTACTAAGAGCAGCTTTGTGTTTATTTTTTGATATGATTAATCGTGACCGTGCCTATCCAACTAGGGTATAGTATTTCTGGAAAGGCAGAGTGTATTTTCAAAGTGTTAAATATTTAAGAACTTTCAGTATACAGAAAACTACAACTGAACTCTATTAAATATGTTTTCTTTTATTTTTTTCTTGTATTAAAAATTGTTAGGACTTTACAGTTTGGATCGTGAATACCCCTATTATTTTATGGTACAAATAAATGTATTCTTATATCTATACATGGTTGAAATAAATAATTTTAACATTAGAACATTTTTACTACATACAGCGTTTTTGATTTCTAGAAATAAAAATATTTCTAACATAGTACATTCTAGATACATACCTAGACATTTTTACATATTATGGGGCCTGAAGTGGAATAATGAAAGGGGAAAAATGGGTTCCATCGTGTTTCGCTTTCCCCGTGACTTCCTAAACTTGCACTGGTAAGGGCGATAAAATAGGTTTTTTTGTGCGCATGTATTTCTGTATTACGTTAAAGTAAAAAACTAAATGTACAGAGACAAATAAATAAACATTTAATAATTAATATAATTTCAATAAGATTAATTGATAAAAACAACTAATTAATTTTGTTTAATTTTGTTGTTCAATAAAATTATATCTACAATTCAATACAGGTCCTTAAAATATATTAAAGGTTAAAAATATTTTCCATCAAATTTTTAAATATAAAAAAAAAATTACATACAAAACTCGTGTGAATCCAATATTACCCAAAAAAATTATAAGATTATAATAAATAATAAAATGTAATATGAAATAATAAATAATAATAAAATGTATGAAAGATTAATTTTATACATT